GCCTGCAGCCGGCCTGGCCGGGATGCTCGGGCGCTGTTGTCTGGGTCAGCATCAGAGGTTGCATCCTTCTCCTGGCATATTTCGGTTGGAGCAACCCAGGGGAGCTCCAGCAGTCGAGGAGGCAGTGGGGGGGGCAGGACCTGTCTCCCGTCGCGATGGGAGGGCAGTGCCTGGCCCAGGATCGGGGCGCTGGGCACAACGGGGGGACCAGCATCTCCATAAGCCCTGCGGCGCAGCACGTCCGCGGCCAGCTGTGCTGGGGCTGTGTGTTGTCACCGTGTGTCACCGTCAGTGTCTGGACACCCATGGCGTTATGGACAAACCCGTTGCTCTGCCTTCTGCCCTTTCCTTTTTCTTTTGCTCATTTGATTGCTGCAGTGCAGGAGCTCGTCTCTGATATTTGCCGAACCATGGCTTGCTGACCCCTCTCTCTCTCTCTCTGTTTATGTCTGTGCCTTTCCCTGTATGTTCTGTAGAGGATGTAGCAAATTTAACAGCCAGTGATGTGATGAATCGGGTAAACCTGGGATATTTGCAAGGTAATTCCCTTTCCCTGGGAGTCCCGCGTGACTCACGGTGTGCAGCGTACAACAAGATCATGCCAGCTAAGCCCAAACCACACACCCCTGCCGGTTTTCACCTTAGATTCCCGAGCCTTCCAAGCACAGATTTGTTTGTTTTGGAAAACAAAAGACCAAACAGAGGCTCCACAAAGCCATGGAGATCAAAACCGCAGGGACCCTTTTCTAGCTGAACTCTCACAGGGAAATCACAGCCCTCGGCTGTCGGTAAAAGAAACCCTCCCTCCATCGCTCTGCAAGTTGGGTTTGGTCTGTAAAGCCAGGGGCAGTTTGAGGAGGGGGTTTGGGGGGGCTGAGCACAGCGGAGCTGCTGGTGTGGGCTGTGATGAGCTGCTGCAGATGCTGCACCAGCCCCTTCTCCTCTTGACCCCGCATGGGTCAGCCACAGCTCAGGGGCCAGGCAGCGCTTAGAAAGCCCTTCACAATCCCTGCCTTGTGTTCTTTAGCATTAGCAGCCCCTGTTTTCTAACCCGGGCAGCAGCTCCCGCGGGCGCTGCCTGTGCTGCAGCCACCCAGAGCACGTTGTTAGTGTCTGCAGGGTTGTTGCATCATTTACCCATTTACACAGTGATGTAAAATGCCCTGGAAAGGCCCCTCTTTACTGCAGCAGCCAGGAGTTAGCAGTAGCCCATTCTTGCTGTATTTTAGGCTTCACTAGCCCACGCTTAAGGTGAAAAGTTGGCATTTTCCTATGAACTGTCCTTCATCAGAGCAGCAGCCCCAGCCGGGGCTCATGGAAGCCCCATGCCAGCACAGTATATTGCCAGCAGGGTGGTGGGTGCTGGGCAGAGCTCGGATCCCGCTGGCATCTCCATGTCCTGCAGAAGAGAGGGGCTGAGCGAACACCACAGAGGGTCCAGCACCATCACTTCACCCCAAACGAGGACACCCCCTGGGTGAACGTCTAACATGGTGCCATCACTGCTGGGTGCAGGAGCTGGAGCTTGGTGCTGGCTCCCCCCAAAATAAACCCAATAATTGCTGGAGGGTGCTGCTGGGCTGAGTGCCACCGCTGTGCCGCAGGGGACCACATGGCAATATACTTGGTGGGGTCA